TTGCAGGAACCGACGTCGACATCTCTTGCTCATGATTGTGCGAATATGTTGGCAATCATTCGACAGGTCACATGTCAGCCATTGGCAATCAGCATCGTGTATTTGAAGGGAGGTTGTTTGAAAGCGCATTTTGCTGAAAGACCCCTGCCAAACTTCAAGTTGTTTGAATATTCTCTGTCTTTTTGCTGGTGTAAACCAAAAGCAACCAAATTGCTAATGAGAACTCACAAGTTTGCAAGGACGATCAGTGCGAGATGTTTACCACTGGTTCCTGTAGATTGTCTATTCATTTCATCCCATTGGTTCTGTGAGTTGTTTACCAGGATTGCAGCACCTTGAGCCAATAGGAAAAGCAGCTTTAATTATAGCTGAGCAGCATAGTTGAGTAGATATGAGTAGAACCGAGTAGATAGCATTTACTTTTTACTTCGTTGAGCCTACACCCCGTCAATGCTATGCCTGCTCAGTGCATGAGCAGCACTTCATCAGCTTCGCATGTCTCATGAAATCACGCCCTGTTTTGCCAAATCGAAGTGGGACAGTGGTCTTGTCCTTGCAAATCTACTTCTCTAACACCTAGAAACCCTGCAACCCTCTGCAACCTGCTTATTCTGCTTTCTTCTTTACCTGCATGTTGGAGCACCGTCAGGATGTACTGACTTATCAGCAATCACATGCGAGATCTTCAGCTTGCACAGGAAAACAAAGGAAACACTGGAGGTCCTTGATGTTTGGGTTGACATTGTCAGTTGACATGCTTTAAGTCTGGTCAAATACGGACTTCAGTTGGAAGCTCGATGCCGCTCTCCTCAAAGAGATGCTTCAAGCAGCGCGCGTCCTCACTGGGAATGGGTGGTGGCTCGTGCAGTGGATCTTCCAGCTCCCCATCTCGAGCAATTGCACGCTTCCATTGTGTCTGCACTGCCAGGGCTACAATGCCCAAGGGTGACTCCTGGTCCAAAATTCTCCAATTGTAGACATCTCTCACTTTCAAAAATGAATCCATGATTTGCCTCGCAACTGCTGCCCCAGAAACCTCACCCTGCTCCTGACCGAGGCCAGACGCAGCCAATGCATCTTGGCATTCCACTGCCAGGAGCTTCCAGATTGCTTCAGGGACATCAGGGAGGCCAGGAGCAACGTCGTCGAGCCTTGCAGCACTTGCGCTTGATGCACTTGGTATGTTGGCCAACAAAGAACACCAGGCAGCCAGCTCCATGCCACTCTGGGAAACACCCTTGCGATGGAAAACTGATTCTGATTTGAATTTTGCTGGCAGCGAATCCAAGATTGCTGTGAGCAATGCAGAAAAAGAAGGCTCTACCTCCGCCGCAGAGTCCCCTTCAAAGCCAAGCAACAAAGCTTGTGATTCAAAGGATCCTTGCAGCACCCGGTAGGTCTCTTGTAGCCGCAATCGATAGAGTTCCGGGCGAACTGCATCACACAGAAATCTGACAGTTTTGGAGGCCTCTGAAACGGCAGGCTGTCCATAGGACACAAGAATCCGTGGAAGAACATCCGCCACAGCGGGAGACACCATTGTTAGTTTTGCAGCCTCAACAGAAGAGATGGATTCCAACATCGCTGGGATCAGTGTAGCTGGCAACTCCGATGAAGTTGAAGGGCATATCTGCGCAATGTCTGCTGCGACGGTGAGCCACTGCGCCCGTTGCTCTGGTGACCACAAGGCCCTCTTGGAACTTGTACCCACGGCAGCGACCAGAATTTGCCCTGCCAACTGCGCGCGCTTGAGAGACATGTCAGGCTGTTTCCCTACCAATAGCTGGGCGGCGGCCAGCAGTAAGTCACCTTTCACTGAGCCCATGTGTCCAGAGGTTGGAACAACACAAAGCGGGTTTTGCGAAGACAATTGGGCAGCTTCTCGCTTCCATCCAACCGACGGTTGGGCTTTGTGCCGAACAACTTGAAGTTGCTGCCACCTGCAATGCTGCAATCTTTCTACTAGCGTGCTCAAGATGGCATTCTGGGCTTCGCTTACAGACATCGAGAGTTGTGTTTCTATCAAATCTTTGGTTGGTGCCATATTTGCCACGTTTGCCTCTTTTTCACTTTGCTCTTGCAACTTTGTCTGGACTTCAGGTTTCTGACGGCAACCCCAGGACGCCGCGGCACAGATCTGTGCCAAACTTTCAGCAGCTGGCACTGTGGAAATGACACAGGGAAGTAAGCAGCCCAGAGCCTGCTCATCCAGACACTTGAGCTTTGAGAAGCTGTCAAGAGCGCTTAAAGCCATAGTGGGTTTCAACTCGCTTGCATCGCACTGAAGAAGAACACGACGTACTTCATTGACCAAAAGTGGCAGGGGATACTGAGCACGGGCGAAGGATTTTAGCACATCCACAGCCAGCGTGGCATCCATGGTCCTCTCGTCTTCTGGGCTAGCAAGGATCAGTGCAACCACATTTAGCATTCCATGATGCACCGCATCCAAAGAGGAATAAACGTGAGCCATACACACCAAATCTGTTGTGGTGAAGGAACCTAGTCGTTCCACCATGAAGGTTGCAATCTTCCAAAGCAAGCGGAGTTGGCCCGATTGCCTCTCGGCAACACATCTCGCAACTGCCAGTAGCTCAGCAGGTGTCATGGACATTGCCACTAATTCAGCTCGCCGGCAAAGCGCTTGCCAGTGCAATTCATCGACCTGTTTGTGCGCATCCACAATCGCTTCTGCAAGCTGAGAATGATTTAGGCTTGGAACTGGCCGATAGTCACCATCCTGCAGCCACATGGGGCCCTTTGGCCGCCGAGGATCATCCTTTCCAACAACCACTTCAGTGGGAGCTGCTGGAGTTCCATCCAACCTTTGACTTTGCCACTTCTCCTCCCAGTCCCAGCCATCATCCCATTCCGCTTCCCATGAATCCCACCAACGATCGCCATGGCCTGTTTCACATGAAGAATGGGAAGGTTCCAAAAAAGAGTCACCCACTTCTCCAGAAAATTGAACTTCCTTTCGATGCCACTTCAATGCCTTGTCTGCAGCAAGAGCATCCTCTCTGAAACTCTGATCAACACCTGGTCGAAGCCCCCAGAAGTTCCGGCTGTCATGGTCATCATCGCGCCACAGTCTTGCTGTTTCGCGCGACTTTGAGCGCGATGCCCTGCCTTTCGGCTCCTTCGGGTCCTTTGCCCGTGTCCGACGACTTGACTCTTTTGGCCGACTGGGCCCTGAAAATGGACGCGTTACCCATGTTACCAGGCCTGAAAAAGGTTGCAAAGCTCTGGCACGGCACCGAATCATGAGGCCAAGATGAAAGCATGAAAGATGTGAGGAGTGTGCAATTTAGATCCTATTTACTTTCTCCATCTATTCTTTTTGTTCGAAGTCGCCTTGATAATCCTTCGCTTGGAATTGCCTCTTGTTTGTTTTACAAATTCACATGAGAAACTGCATTTGTAGAGCCAGAAGACCTGAGCAAAGGAATGCTTGACTTCCAAGACCGAAGCTTCGCAAAAGGACGAGATATACTGAAACTGAACAGAACAATCTTCTTCAATCTCGTCTTCAATGCAGAGAGCCACCATCCCGGGATATCCATAAATCAAATCAATCTACGAAATGCTAATTTCACTGCGTTCCAAGAATGATCAAGGATGCAACAGAATGTCCTGCACTCCATCTACATTTCAGCGACCAACCTGATGAAAGACATGAATTGAGCTCTCCACTTTTTGCCAACTTCTTCCTGAGAAGAATAATTGCTGAAACCTTCAGGAAAGTTGATGAGCTGAAGCAGTTCGTGCTTGGGAATCTGCAGCACAGATTCACTTTGGGGGTGGAAATGAGCTCGCAAACCTAGCTCCTGCTCCAACATCTGTAGAAGAGATGGGCCAAGGATGCTCTCACCAGTTCTGGAATGTTGACCCAAGCCGACAATCAACTGAAGACTCCCGTCTGCCTGAAGTCCGTGTTCTTCGGGATGTCTCCAGATTTCGGTGGATGTCGATGTCAGTGCAATGGCAATGTCCAGCAATTTCACCCGCACGGCCAAACGGGCAAGCTCTCCTGTCAAACCATGCAGGTCCATACCATCCTTGCGGGACGTTGCAACCCCTACGTTGCTTCCATCCATTTGTGCCCTGTACAAAGCTAAAGCTCCAGCAAATTCAGCATCCAACATGCTGTCAATCACAGTGTTCAGGCATACAGCGTCTGGTTCGACTTCCAAGTGTCGCATATCGGCTAGGACGTTCAGCGCATGCTCCCATTTGGACGTGCGACAACAAGTTTGGATCGTACCTTGGAAGCAAGCATCATCCAATCCGTTGCCAATCCTGGCCAAGCCATGTCAAGGATTTCCTGCTCCATTTGCAGTGTCTCGAAAGGGTTAGATGGGTTAGTCACTTAGTACTTAGTCATACTTAGTCAAATTGGATGCCCTAAAAGTTGGATTTGGATGGGTCCTAAGAATGAGCAAATTCTGTGATTCCCAGTGCCTTAAATTTTGACCCGTTCTATCCCGTTCCCAGTTTTTTCATGCTGAGCAAAGCCCTTCCAGCCTCGATGAAGATGTTGCCCTCGCAGGGAGCACTGGAGCTGCGGAGCTGCAATTTCCGTGCACAAGTGACAAGTGGCGCTTAAAAAAGGACCCGAGGGATCAACAAAGTCATGGGACAAAATGGCCATGTCAAATCATTTAGAATACAGGAGAAGCGTGATAGAGATGACTTTGAATTTATTGGCCTTTGTCAATCAAGACATGACATGTGTGTTTCCAGCCCTGGATTCTTGCCTCCAAGTGTTTCGGAAAAAGCCTTTGGACTTTCAAATCTTTCAACATTTCATCAGGCTCAGGAAACACGAGGTTGCCCGGTGCAATGCTGAGCTGGCAGCAGGAAGTGGACTTGAAAACCCTTGAGGCAAAGCATGACCTGAGACTTAATATGACTTAATGTTTTGATACCGCCCGCCTATAAAAACACAGTCTGGAAAGCTGCCGCGCTATATAAGGGGGTCCGGCTGTTCGATCGAGGCTCTCAAGTTTTGCTGCGCAAACGCACGGGCTCTTCGAGCGACTCAAACGTACAGGTCAGCTGCATTCGCAGCCAGCCTGGTCCTATCTACCATCGTACACGTTACAAACAAAGTGTGTCCAAGACACTCTTTCAGGGACTACTTGGCAACCCGGCAGTGTAAATGCCGTGAAGTGCAGCAAGTCCAGTGCATGAACTCTAAGGTGATTTTTTCACCACCTTAAAACCACATTAACATCCTGTGGATTGAAAAATCCACAGAGTGCTCACTTCCACAGTGCAGTGTCAGTCAGCAAAGTCTTCTTTGCCTCAGGTCAAGAGATGACAGAACTCAAGGCTCTGACTGTGCTGTCCTTCCACATGTTTTTCAGGGCTTCCCATGGCTTCCCCGCTGATATCACTGCAATAGAACCAACCAAGGCTCAAATGTCCATTGCTCGCTGGGAGAAGATTGCCTTGTATCAAATGCTCCAAAAACAGAGCTCATTCAAATTGAAGCACAAGGTGAATTATCAAATCCTCAAAAAATGCATGGCCTCCTTTCAAACTCCTTTGCTCTTGCTACATGCCAACCTATTCTAGGTCAATGTGAAAAGCACCTGTACTTCTCTAGTGTCGAGGTGCCTCGTCCCGGCGCAAGTCATTTTGAAGACCTTCCTCAGAGGTGTTGGTGAAATCGAAATCCGTCCACCAGTGCTGTGTGAACTCATAGAGTGCGCGCCTCCAGGTCTCGAAGGGCTCTTTCTTGCTCCTCCCAAGCACTGACAGGGCCAGCCTCCAAGGGCAACTCGCTGCATCCTTTTGGGAAATCATGCTATTATTGCTATTCGCACAGGATTGCCACATACTGCAAAAACCCTCCTACATTGATACCTCGTTCATGTCTCACCGGCATTCATGTCTCACCTCTGATTGCCTACTGCCATTTTTGGAAGACGTTTGAGCGATGCGGAGGACGCACCTTGACCTCCTGCTCTTCGCATTTTCTTAGTACAAATTCACATCAACCATCAACATTCATCAACATCAAGCCAACACTCCTTTGGACCATCTGGGACCAGCAGAAGTTTCAAGTCTGAGGAGCCAACGGATCGAATCTCAAATCCTCCGGCTCCCAGGAGGTAGACTCGCCTGCAAAAGCTGCACTCCGGAGTGGCCTCAGCCATCGCCGCCAACCGGCAATGCCATCGCTGAGCACGGAGTTGGATGATATAATTCTGATGTTCCATCTAAACACTAAGCACTGAGTTGGATGGTTTTAATATAGGTATGTTTTGATAAGTTCAATAAGTTCCACGCTCAACAACTGCCTGTGGGCCCGGCGGCGTCTGCCCACTTTCGCTCTGCACGTCCTTTCTGGAATCCCATTTTGGCGAAATGACAAATGGATATATATATAATAATAATATATATATATACACATTATATATATACTGTATATTATATATAATATTATATATATATATTATATAAACCATGTTAAACCTGTCAACCAGTGGGATTTCAGCATCCAAATTTGAAAGGGCTTTCCTTCACTTGACGTAAAAGGTTTATCAAATATTTTTCCTGTTGTGAATGTAAGAAGTTCATATTTCATTTTTTAACATGATGCTGGCCTCCTCAATAAATCATCAGCCCCAAAATGTGAAATGAAAAGGGCATGTTCTTCCAAATCACAAATGCACTTGACTGGGAAGTCGTGGAAAGTGACTGCAAAGAGTCTAATTTCTGTGAGATCAAGGGATCTCTTGCAAACTAGGAGCTTCTTTGGGCGACACAACAATCTTCCTGACTTCAGGTTCCTGACAACAGTGGAATTCTGAACGGCTCCGCAACTGCATCCTGCCCTCAATTCTGCCCTCAATTCTCAATCCCAGAGTGTTTCAGGGTAACAGCCATTTCCGGTAGATTCTCCCTTAAACATCCTTAAACCAATCCATTGACTCAAGGCCTTGAATGGGAGCACCGGAACTGCCGTCGGGGTCGGAGTTGCTGTGCCAGCTGTGACAGGCATGGGACCGTCTTGACGCTCGTCCGTCTGTGGCCAGAGGCGCGGCGCAAAGTAGTGGTACCAGTAATACACCACAGCTGCAAGGAATACCTGCGGATGCCGAGGTTGTAAACTGCACCCTTCTCACACTTGAAAGTTATTCAAAAATCACCATATACCTACAACAAAGCACGAACCGAAGATGCATTTGACATCACTGGCTAAACAGTTTCTCCACGTTTTTCCCATCGAAGACAGAGGACTGAGGCTCTTGCTGTAAATGCACCCAAGAAAAACGCCGGGACAGCACCATCCCATGAGACTCCCTGCATCAACCGTGTATCTATGTTTTGATAGAACATGTAAGTAGAACATCAGGAATATGTTGATAGAACATGATGAACATGTTTTTTCAATCTGGTGTTGATGATGGAATAAAAGGCTGCGCCGTTCTTTTCTGCACTGCTAGATACAGAATAGAAGACAACATGGTTGAGGATAGTACCAAGAGGTTGTGTTTAAGCATCATGCAACAAGCCAGCTCTTTGAGCCACAAGCACAGCAACTTGGTCTCATGGCGGAGACTCTCAACAAGCAATTACTTTGCCTGTCTGATTTCTGCCATTCCATTGGACCTCTAAGAGTCTAAAGACTAAACACATATCTTCATATATCTTCCACAGCTTCAGGTGCCAGCATCTTCATGTTCATCTCTGCAGGCCATCACCTGCAGGTGACAATTGAAATATCATGAATTACATCTAATTACAATGAAACGATCGTGCTGTCGTGCTGAACAACCACTCCAACCACGAACAGAGAGCGGGAGGGAGGGAGGGAGGGGAAGAGGGGAAGAGGGGAAGAGGGGAAGAGGGGAAGAGGGGAAGAGGGGAAGAGGGGAGAGAGGAAGAGGGGAAGAGGGGAAGAGGGGAAGAGGGGAAGAGGGGAAGAGGGGAAGAGGGGAAGAGGGGAAGAGAGGAAGAGGGGAAGAGGGGAAGAGGGGAAGAGGGGAAGAGGGGAAGAGGGGAAGAGGGGAAGAGGGGAAGAGGGGAAGAGAGAGATAGAGGGGGAGAGAGAGTCGTTTCTTTGCAGCTGGCCAGATCTCCAAATACCTTGTCTTTGTGCAAGTTTGGTGCATCAAATCACACTTCCCCGGATCCCGAGGCACCACTTTGGGGTCGAGGGCTGCACTACCAGCTCCTACTGGGTCTTGACTTGTCTGAACAAACAGCAGGAATGCACAAGCCTTATTGTCTCATTGCCAATGATCATTTTGATGTGTTTTGTCAAATATTGTTTATGACGAAACTCCAATAAATCCACATGCAAGTGGTCATTGATTCTTGCCATGTATCTATATGCATATACATATGTGTACACAAATATATATATATATATATACAGTATATATTATCAACAAACAATATTTTTCTTCAACCTTTGCTTCTTCTGCAGTGAAGTTGTCGAACGTGTTTGAAGGTACTGTTTTGTTCACACTTGCGTTTTTGACCCTTGCTCGTGAGCCACGTATATCGGCCAATTCAATTTTGTGCCTCCATGCACTACCTCAGTCAGGCTGGCCCTCCAAAGCACAAACCGGACAAATTTTTCAAAGGTCATCGCAAAACAAAGTGGGGTACAAACAAATCGTCTACTAGAGACTGAGAATCTAAGAGATCCCAATCCATCCAATTCTTTACTTAAGCAATCAGTCCGGGAGAAGGATGTAAAATTATTCTCATCGTTTGTTTGTGATTCTGTCAGAAACCAACGCGTTGTTTCGTTTCAATCCCATCCAAACTGAAACCAAGCCTACAATCACCCGTTGTCTTCATGCAAAAAGTGGCAGCATTTCATCTGCAAACACATTTGCCACTACAACTACAACTATAAGATACTACAAAATTGGAAGCCATGAAGCATCTGTCGCCACTGAGTTCAAAGGTGAGCACATCGAAAATCTCTGCACACCCCTAAGCCACGATAGCCAGTCTCTTTCGGTAAAATCACAAAGACCCCTGGGAAACTACCAGAAACTCTCAAGATCTCAACAGTGTCTGACAGTGTCTGGACATCTCTTTGCTCACTTTCTTTTCTGGTCCAGCAGTCCAGCCCTTCAGCTGCTCAGACCTAGCGAAAAGCAGCGAGGATTGCTATGATTAGAATGATTGGCTGTCACAAATCTCTGGCCTTGTGCAACTTGATGGAAACCAGCTGGGTCCCCTTCTGACCTGATTCAGATTCAGTAATCATGGCAATCATCTGATAATCACCTCACCTCAAAAGCACCACTTTGCAGAATCTTGGCTACCCACCATGGGCAGGATTGCTAGACCTGAGTGACTGCTGACCGAACATCATGAAAAAAACATACTGCCGACCATCAAATCACCCGCATTATGGACAGAACCTCACGATCCCATCTTGACATGTCAGGCCCGCGGTTGGGGCATCCAGGGGGTTTGGGTTCTTGATTGCAGGTACCTCCATGTTGGATCGGGATAAGTGGCTCAAAAAAGTGGATATAACTATAACAATGTTCCCAACGGCATCAAAAGCGAAATGCACCACTCTGACGAAGTGAATAGTGGAGCTCCATCGAAACATCGAAAACACGCATGAAAGCCTCTGCAACTTTGAGTTCCACACTTCTGAAGAAAATCACCATCCAGAAGAGCCTTCATTTTTCGTGCCTTTGCAAATGTACAGCGTTCAATCAACGATGACCTTTACTGTGTTTTTTTCAATGAGCTGGGATGTTTCAGATTCCAGCCCAGTCATTGACGGAGCGAGAGCCACTGTCCTGATCCATGGAACTTGGAGGCAGGAATGTAATTCTATTTCATCAAAAGCTTGCTATGGTAAACGCACAGCCACTTAAACGTAATTCGGCAATCTCCAGGTGTCAGTCCTCTGATGATTTGGCAGGATTGTGCCAGTCTGGCCAGTCTGCAAAGCCCTGCCCAGCAGATCTGAATGTTGACTGCATAGGTAAATCAAAATCCACAATTGTGCCACACCTTGGATTCATGGTCACCTTCACTGCAGTGACTTGATGTGGATAGCATGACTCAAGGCTGAATCAAAAAGAGGTCGCTGAGTTGTGGGCGAGAGATTGGGGAGGTAGGAGCAGACCTTGGTCATGGCATAGCCGGCGCCGGCATAGCTGAGGCATAGCTGCGTGCAGCTGAGAGGGGAGAACTCCCATGGTTTGAGCGCACTACTCGGCAAATGCCCTATCGGTTTGCTCCGACCTAAGCTGCAGAATTGTTTTGATATATAATCAACAATTTATATACATGTATACATATGTACATATATCTATAATATACTCTATATATATATATATATATTGCACTAGTATCAATCATCCTTTCCTTTTGTTCGCTGCAACTTGCCTGCAAAAACCATGGTCGAACTCCCCAAGTGAGTCCGGGGCCTGATCTTCTTCAGCCAGTCCTTTGGCAACAGGGCAGCTGGTAAACATTAGGTTTGTCTGAAACTAAAGGATGCCCCCAAATGGCGCAAATGGCCACGTTCATGCGGAGAATATGGGAAACTTGAGAGGGGGGGACGAAAGGTAGGTGGGGCATATCTCTCAACAACTTTTTGCGCTCATCCTGTTTCAATATCGAACTTTCCCTTCCGCCTCGGCGCCCCTCAATTTCATGCATCCATTTCGCGTCATACGTAGACTTCCCCCATTGGCCTCTCCACCACTTCTTACGTTTTTGTTGTTGCAATATCCGAACTTCCCCGGCATCAACAACTTCTTGCGTGCATCTTGTCTCAATATCTAAATTCCACCCACCCTGTGCCATAGTCAGCAATAAGAACCACAAGCAAGATAATGTTAGTCAGTTTGTTGGCCAGCTATGTGAATTAGAGGGGCCAAGGTGCCTCAACCGATGGACGCTCGGTTGAGGCACTTTGCGTGTAGGGATAGGTCTTTAGGGATGTAACCTTCATGCGGCTAAGTGCATGAGGATGTCTGAAGCAAAAGCAACATCAAGAATTGCAGGAGACGAAACCGTCCTTGTTTCGCGGGAACTATTCAAAGGATTGTGGCTCAGGGATAAGCGTCGCTGCGAAGGGACATACTGCTATTGTTTTCTGATCTGACATGAGCATTGCCCATGACCTGTGAAGAACATCGAGTGGTCTCGTAAAGTATTCCAGTTGGAGCATGGAGCTCAGCTGCGTGTCTGTGATACGCGTAAAGCACCGAAGCCATGGCAACAGTATCACAGCAGGCAGGTGCAAACAGCCATTGCAATGGACTTTCTTCTGTCATGAGTTTAGAACGCAACGTACATGGATTGGAATCGCCTGTGTGCTGGGTGAAACAGGATGCGCGTGCGCTAAGGGGTATCAGAAGAGGTTGAGGTAAAGAGGAAAACCTTTGCACACGCAAGTCATCCTTCCTTCCTTCCTGCCTTCCTTCCTTCCAGGAAATGACAATACAGCAACCCATATCTAGGAATTTGTAATTTTTGGCTGCTACCTTTCGTGATTAAAGCAAAAAATTGGCTACACAAAACAACGCTGCCCACGGGATGAGTTTTGTCGACGCAATCGAAGATTGAAAAGGAGACCCAGGCCCTACTCTGAAACAAACCGACCAAAAAATGTGGAAATTCCATGAGGCCAACCATAAACAAAATGCATAGCATCAAATACATCGGGAGTTTTTCCAATCCGGACCAGGCAGGATTCGAAGGGTTAGGGGGGGGGCCCTGTGGAGATTCCTTACTTCCAGCCGTCAATTTCCAGGAAAGGGCCAACTACCTCCAGTACTAAAGTACATAGAACTAAGGTAGCCTAGGCTACCTTTCGTGAAAATGGTGATAATCCATTGGAATTCCACTAAGTGAAGAAACTCAGAAGCTTTGGAAGTCGAGTCACGTCCGATGAATCAGAGAGTCGATGACTCGACTGAAGTGTTGTAGACCTTGCAACTTGAGAGAATCAAAACTGACTGAAATGAACTTTTTATACCCTTTGCAGCAGGTCCACATGAACACATCACACAAAATCATTCATGCTACACAAGAACTTGGAGGAAATATCTAGGACATCTGACAAGAATGGAAGACCTTTTTGAGATGACAGAAAGGACGCATGTCAAGGTGGAGTGACCTACAATTCTGGTCTGTAGTCTGTGGTTTCGTCTCACTGCACAGCACTTGGCATTCCACGGCTGAGTCTCCTCTGAACTGCCTTCCTCATCCGTCCTTGTAATCCAAGCTTGACATTGCTTCTCACAGATCTCACTGCGTCCAGCACGCAAAGCTTCCACGGAACGCTCTACTGGATTCTGCTAAGCATCATCTCTGCAACAAAAATCACTCACTATTTCAGTTGACCCCACAAAGTCTACCTGAAGAAAAGAAAGCAGCGTGCTCATATGTACATCGCATTTGCGGCTGTTGTAGTCTGGGGCATCGAGCATGTATCCAGCTGACAAGCCAACTGACATTGGAGTCGATCCAGCATCCGTCGGCTTGCTTCGGTGATGCCATTCCTTCACAGGTCCCCAAACGGCCCACAAGAACAACCTCCTACATGATATCTTTCCACAGGACTTTGCCACAAACGAGATCATCTATCAAACACAAACACGTTCCAGTGAAAATGACTTGAGCATGTTCGTATCTTTGCTTTTCCTCCTTTCGGCCAAACAAACATGTCGTGACTTCTCAAAGGATTGAACGCCTCACTCATCAAGTGATATCGAATTATAATGAATTATATATATACATATAGTTATATATATATATCCCCCCAAAAGCCTCTGCGGCTGAACCTGATGTGACAATGAGCTTCGAGGCCTCCAAGGTGGCCGCAGTTAGGTCTGGCATGTTTTGACAGATCCACAGCATTTCGGCCTCAAACTCATCGATAGCCTGCTGCTTGGAGACAGCAAAGCCCACCGAAGGGCCGGATTTGTCGTAGATCGTCACCTGTTCTCGCACGACCGCAAAGGCTTGGCAGAGGCATCGGGGCCCGTGGGCTCTTCAAAGTGTTGACGCTGTTCCAGCTAGGCAACAACTGTTAAAAGCATAGACTCTGACACCAGTCCACCTGGCACCACCCACAGTATTCCTTCAACATCAGCAAATTGCCACACCCTGGACCTACTACACCCAGGGCCACTTCACTGCAATGCAAACCAAGCAATACGATTTGTCACAGGTCCCCGATCTTTTAAAGTGTTTGTCAACAAATAACATGTTGTTTCTGCGAAGCCACCCTCAGGGTCAAGACCAAGTGCGAAAATGAATCTACTGGAGTGTGCGCTGCGTGGGAGAGTCTGGGTCAGTCGAGGAAGAAAATGTCTGCGACGGCTTTCAAGCTGAGGCCTCCACAAAGCGTCTCAAGAAGGGATCTCCGAAGATGAAAAGAGGCCCCTCACCCATGAAGACTTCACACCACACAGCGAGCATCTGCTTCTGAATCGCGTCACGCTATCGGAGTGTTGAACGAAATTGTAAGACTGCGACCCTCGGCGGCGGGACATCCAAAGGCATCAAAGAGAAGCTGCATCCAGTCTGATCTCTGTCCTCCGAAGTGCTGCATGGCACCGAAAAAAACAATTAAAGGAAGAACGATGTAAAGTGAACAAAGACAAAGTGTAAGGCAGGGTGCAAGCAGAAAGCGAAAGAGGGGCAGCCTTTTCTATAAAGCATCTGTTGGGAGGCGGGTGCGAATCTCATATCGGACCTAGGGACCACCTGTTGGCAAGCCAAGTGTCCATCAAAAACACACAAGTCTTAATGAAGGCAAACCATCCATCGGCTTCCCAAACATGTGGGCAGCCATTGCAGAAAGCTTCACTTCCGCTGGCTGCCATGCTAATTGCCGTGTTGTCAAACAGGCTGACAGGTATGAACCTGTGAACAAAGAACATGAGCCAAGTAGTTTATTGAAGTAGGCCGAGCAGGCCACTCTGCACTTCGGAAATGTTATGCCTAGACTGCTAGTTCTGCTAGACATCTCCATTCACCTCGGCTACTTGGCATCTCTTCGGCTCGAGGCCGAAATGAAACATGCTACCGAAAGATATCATGTCACACTGAAAATTGGTTCCTGGAGAACCGGAGTTGCTCGCGACAGTTTGCTGTTGTCTGGCTCGGCAGCTGTTGCTATGAGTCAAAGCGTGCCCTTCTCGTCACTTGAAAATCGGTGTGTCTGAACATAGGGCTATCCGCAATTTATCTTCCACAATTTGTGAGTGTCACATGGTATCCCCTATTCTCAAACAAACCCATCCATAGCTGCTCAGTAGAAAGCCCACAGCAAACACCGCAAGCTGCGCAGCTAAGCTGGCGCTCCACTTTGCGGACTACACTAGCTTGAGACCGTGACTTGCCAGGCTGCTGTCTCCAGCTTTCTCATGTGTACATATATATGTACATATATATATATATGTGTGTGTGTGTGTTTTTGATATAGTATGTGTGTACAACATATGACATGGTATGTAATATATATATGTGTGTGTGTGTGAAATGATATGAAATGAAATAATATGATATGATATGATATGATATGATATGACATAGCATAACATAAAATTACATTATATTGTATCATGTCATATTATATTATTGTGTTATATTATAACATATTATATCATACTATACTATATTGTGTTATATTACATTATATCGTATTATATCATATCATATTATATCATATCATATTATATAATATTATATCATATGATGTGATGTGATATATTACGAATACGATGATATAATGGTATTATATTCATCTGTACATGTTGTGGTACATGTTGTCTGCATGCATACACCTTCTTCATTCTTATTCTACGGAGTTATATACTTTTTGCCATTGTCTGATAGGAACATCCTAGGAAATCAATGAACATACAAATCAAACATATCAAATACTAAGATCAAGCTAATCAGATTCAGCAGCCTCAAGTGGCCTGTAGAAATCATTGCAATGCGATCAACGAAGAATAATTCGATCAAATGCGCCCTCCAAAAGGATGCAACTTGTCTCTTGGTCTTGAAGTTCTGAACAGAACTTTGTCAGGGTTCTTATTGCTCACGAAGGAAGCCTCGTGTCCAGAAACAGTTGATGTGCAACTCGCAAGCACAAGGAAACAAAGAAATGCACTGGCACAGTTGACTGGCAAGGGCAGTGCCTAAGTCCAGAATTTGGAACTTTTGACCAATGCTCACATACCTTGGGCAAATTCTGCAAGAGATACTGAAAAATGCACTGCGTTTTCAATCCACCAAATGCCACTACCTTACTTCGTCCGTTGTCAGTCGTGGGAGGTTGGAACGCTTGGTCCCCCGCTTGTTTAGCTTCTTGTGCGAAGCTCGGCCAACATATGCCTCGCTTTCGTTGTGCTTGGTGACCAGCCACAGCTCTCCTGCGAGGTACTTGGCGCTGAGAACAACATGATCGAATGCATCAGAACACTTTGGCCCGCCTTTTGCGAGAACATCCTGTATCTCTGCCACGCTCAATCCCTGCCACAAGGTTCTCAAAACGCTAACAGTTTTAACATGTGCTAAAAAGAATATAATTAAAAAACTTTAAAAAGAAGCTTCCCGGCAAATCCTGCCTTGATGGTATCAATCCGCACGTGGACGGATGCGGCTACCAGTGTTGTGGCCTGGAAGCGTGCACTACGAGCGTTGCCTTTTCCAATTTGTTCCAAATATCACCAATCGGAATGTCGATGAGTGTAGTTTGTTGTAGTTCATTGTTTCATCGCTCCCCAAATACTTGGCCCAAGTCATCCCATGGGAGTTCTTAGCAATGTCTCCAGTTGCAAAAAGCTTTTTTTAAGCATCGTGCAATTTCTAAGCTGGCTTACATCGTTGTCAAACTGTTGAATTGCTCCAGAATGTGGCTTACCAAATAGTAGGACACAATCAATGCCCTTGATGGGCCTTGATGTACCGTTGCTAATGATGAACTTTGCACTTCAACAGCTTCAACGAGTAAGGACACCAAAACTTCTTCTAGTAACTTACTGTTTTTCACCCGCGGTCTTCCAAACTGCACATGCCTCTGGCCACAACTCTCGAGCACACCGATAGATCTCTGCAAGGATGCGCAAACCTCTAGAAAACCGCCCTACAACACTCCTCACAGAATCATGGTCAGGGTGCAACATCAAGTCTCAAAGCACTGTATAAACAGTTTCTAGTCGTGTTCCAAAAGATCCAAAGTGTTTTATGAGAAAGGCAAGCTGAGGTCAATACGCAGGACAGTGGAAGAACCTGTTTTCAAGTTCATTTCATGGTCAAGTCCACTAAGTTTCCTTCCCCTGCATCCTCACAAAAGGGTCTTTTAGTTTTACCAGAACAAAATGACCTGCAATCAACACAATCATCTTTCTTGAGAAACTACAAGCAGCATCTAAGGCACAGGCATTGCATTTGGAGGAAAGCAGGCCCATAATATATGAGAAATGCAGGCCCAACCTCACAATTGATACATGAATGCATGAATCACTTGAAAGTGCAGCTATTCTTCCCAAAAGCAGGTTCAACATGCCAACTGGCGCGATTCACTTGGTCACCCGCTGGCCGGCTGGCTACCTCTGTTGGTACTAGGTCCGGGGAAAAATTTTGACCTGGACATGGAAGAGATCTGGAAACTGCAGTTGGAGTGAAGTATCTTGCAGTCCAATTTTCTGACATTGCAATCTGATGCTTTTCGGCTTCTGTGATCAAGCAGGTCCAATATCTCTATATGTAACATATCATGTATATACATATATATATACAACATATATAATCAACATATCATATATGTACATGTATAATATATATATATATGTATATTTGTATATGTATATTTGTATATGTATATGTGTATCTGTGTGTATATGTATAATACTATAATACTATAATACGATAATACTATTATGTACGACATGTGTATATATATATATACACGACTGTATGTATATATATAATATATATATACATGCATCATTATAGATAGCAAGTTGGTACACACCTTCAAAAATTCTCAGCAATCTTCTCCTCCTTCACGCCGTAAGGCGCGGCACGGCTTCCCCACCTGCGCATCCTGTCCTGGACATTTCCACGCTGAGAACATCTTTGTCCTGTCAGGTTTGGGATGGTAGCTATAGTCATCCCCTCCCCCCAACAAAAAGTACCGAAAAGCAAATCCCCATGAGAATCGTGAAGATTCGCAGCTTTCGATCTGTTTAGAGGACTGCAATAGATGGCTTTTGGTACTGTCTAAGATTTCAGCCGTTTCGCTCGAGTTTGGCACACCAAATCGCCGAACCATAAGACAGACTCGATCTTAAGCACTTCTCATCAGCACTTGGGTTTTGCAGTGTCTTTTTCCACTGAACTAAACCAACACTTGAAATAGAGAGCTCAAATGCTAAGTGCAAACCAGTTCACATGTCTGTCATGTGTACAACTGTCCTCCTTGGGCAATTCTTGGCTAAAAGCCTCCACCACATTCCGTCCATTTGCCTTAGAGATTCAGCAGCGAGAACCTTTGCAAACTCATGAAAAGCAAAAGCGGAAATTGCCCGGAAATTGCCTCTGTCTAGTTGTTGAAGACAATAAACTTCAATAAACAGTCATTCAAGAATCCAAATTGCTTGGTCACCTGCTCCTTAAACCTCACACTATGAAAGTCGAGCTTGTTATTCACACATCTTGGTTTTGGCCAGAAAAAAAACATGCCCAAGTGACTTGTGCCATGCACAGCAGCCGCATCGCTGCAATGGAATGGGGGCCTGGTAACTGACCAGCATCTGGATCTGCATACTTCGTGATCACTTCGTGATCTTCATGATACCCTCTGGTAATTTAACATAGCTATTGAAAATGACCATTTATAGTGGATTTTCCCATTAAAAATGGTGATTTTCAATAGCTATGTTAAATTACCAGAGGGTACTTCAATACTTCACACAGCTTCTTCAATCTGTGACCCATTGAAAGCTGTGTGGTAAAGAATCAATGCTCGATATGGACTTTCCAGATCTTTCCAGGCCTGTGGGTGTCGCTCCTAGTGAAGGGACGTGATCTGACCAGCGATGCTTGAGATACTTCTCCATAACCTCCCGGCAGCTTGGCATCTGAGCACTAGACTGGGTTTGGTCACAAGTTTCTCTTTTTGCATGTGAGACAGTGAGACTCCACCAGAAAGTCCAGCATGCTGTAAGTGCGGAATATACCAGGAAATTCTATCTTACAGCACAGAGCTCACATTCGATTTTCATGGTTTGAAACTTCGCTGACATCTGCAAAAAGAACTCACATCTGAATCTGCAGAAATCTGCCTGCGTCTCAGTCTGGGAAGTAATGCCCTCAATGAACTTGAAGGACTGCAAAAAGCTGTTCAGAACCTGGGTTCACACACTCAGAGTATGCCAATAATTCTCCAGCCAGTCTTTCCTAAGATCAATGGCCTAGGGCGGGCCAGGGTGCGCACATGCAGCGGAAATTTGATCACAAACTTCTCGCAACCACCCAGTGGTGTTGGCTCAGCTCCAGCCTAGGTTCCAGTGACAACCAGAAGGAAAACAGAATCCGAATGAACGAGTTTCAATGACCTTTCGCGGGTAGGAATGGTTCCCTGGTTTAGTATTCTGTCTGCAAAGTTTCCAAGTACGGTAAACACAAGAAGAACAATAAGCATATGTTAAAGACACCATGCCACAAGACCTCCACAGACAGCTAGGCAAAGCTGATGGCTCAGATTTTTCTGAGCTTTCTGCGAGGTCTGTCAGCCAATGTACGAAGTACAGCGCAACATCCTTTGCTCCTGCATGCAACCTTAGTTCCATCATCTGGGCTCTCAGAATAGCAAAATGATGCCAAGATATGCCAAGTGGATAGAGGTGTTGATTTTATTTGATGTTGCCTTCTACCCCCAACTTGGTAGTACTTCTACTCGATTCTATTTCGCGCAGATTTCTAAGGATGAGACTTCTTGTCCCGATTGATCGCCTCCCGGAACTTGGTGAAGATCGCTCCTGGAGGTGCCTGGGAACAGCACGGAAAAGTGACCGATTTTGAATGGAAAAAATGGGGCCAGCCTCTGCTTGGACTAACCATCCATGGTTGAAGCAAAGATTGCACCTCGAAAATTCAACACTGTTCATTTTGAAGTTGTTTCCTCACAGAAGACATCACAAGACTGCAACAATGCAATGTGTTGCAAATGTCTAGCTTCGTGGTACAACTCATCTGTGTGGCTGCATTTTTTTTTCACGTTTTCACTAGGAATAGCTCCGCAAGCTGATGTTTAGGGAACATGCAAATGTGCCGATAACCAAAGATCAACTCCAGTGCCACATGGCTAAGGCAAGCACTGCGTAAATTGCACTGATTGTCTCTCAGCATGGTCTAGTTCCTTGAAAGAGGGCAGCAAGTCGGGGTAGTGATCCTCAGTGCAAAAAGATGCAGAAAATCCTCGGCGAAAAGGAAGAAACTTTTGAGAAGTGTATTGAAATATGTTGAATTTATTTTAAACTTTAAAATGAAGTTTTGATAATTTGGCTCTAAGAGAGGCTCCATCAAATAGCATAGAGCATGGTCATGGTCGCCAATCACGTCACCAGCTGCATAGCCTTGATTGTGATGAAACACACGGCGGTTGGTTTCAGCAGACTGGAGCAACTCGTGCGAAAAACACTGTCCATCTACCAATAAAATATCAAAATAGAAAAATGATTGAAAATGATTGAAAATGGTTCAAAATGGTTTTAACTGGCACTTTCAACACTTGGACAAAAAAGACTAATACGTCTGAGCTTCCGTGGTAGCCATCATGTTCTGGCTGTACGGTCGGGAGCAACGCATCCATCTTCATGATGTCATGGATGGCGGTTAGTGCCTTAGGTCAAAGTTAGCTACCAAGGCTACTGGAATTGTGCACAAATCGAAGGTATGCCACAGATTTCAGTGAGTTGGGTTCGTCTGAATATAATTCACCCCCAATTCCAATGGACTATCACCGTTTTCCTTGCTAAAATAGCAAAAAAAATGCGGGTAGACCCCATTTTCAGCCATATCTTTTTGGATTCTGGAGTCAAACATATCGGTGCGAAGCGCAGCTTAGCACCCTGCCAGGAGTGATACCATTCTGGTCTCCTTCACTTGATACTGTCCCCTGCAGGCTGCGTTCGCTCCGAAGTAAGGCACAAAATGTATCAAAATGTGCAATTCCCAAAGATAAACATCAACCATCAACCTGCATGTCAATGGACACCATTTTTTGGACGGTGAATCTATGTGACTCTGAACATTTGGGAACCTTCCAGAGCCAGGGGTCATCTCCAGCAAACCAGCATCAACCATGAGCCGGCGAAAGAAACCCCACCTTGGTCCGGGCTGCGTTTGTGCGCTGGACCTGCTATGACCTGCTCACACCTCCAAAAGGGACCTGTTTTTGTGACCTCTTAGTATTCCTTAGTGATTGACGGTGCGTTCACATTGTATTCTGAATTTTAGTGAGAGCTCTGCAAATCAAAGCTGCCTTGGTCTGAGTTTGTAGCTGAGCATTGTTGAAGAACGCCAGTCGTCGCTCTAGCTTGTAGAGACCTGGGGAAAGAGATAACAAAAAGAACCATAGAGAACATGTAAAGACAACGGCACAGGCACAGGGACAAACATCGATGAAATGCAGAAGTTCCCTTGTTTGTGTTGCATTTGGGAAAGCCTTGATTCTTTACTTTTGTCCGCCAGTTTGAAGCAAAATTTGCGGGTTCGATTGCTCTCCATTGAGATCGCCACGCTGTTGCAGTTCTCCCGGTGCTGTGGAACTTGGCATGGAAACCTGATCCGAAGCATCGTGGAACACTTGCATTCAAGGTGCTCAAAATCTGTTATCCAAAGGTCAACAATTGTGGTTCTAATTCCACGACATTCCACGCCTCTCCATCTTTCACTAATGACTCCTGGACACAGGAGATTTCCAGCAGGATGAGTTTTTGGATTTCCCTGCAAAAATGCCAGCCCTGATAAAGCCTTCCAAGACCATAGCATTTTTTTTTGTCTATTCCCCTCTGAGAATGAGAACCTAGCAGCACCTCCATTGTACTTCTTTGGGATATGCACCTATGCAATAGTATTTTTTCCATCCTTTCCCCCGTCCCGCGCTGTCTTTGAGTTCCAATACTAATATCCGCCGACCCCGGCCAAGCAAGGGGGAGCACGTAAGGGAAAAAAACATCACAACAACAACAACAAACAACCAACAACCAACAACCAACAACCAACAACCAACAACCAACAACCAACAACCAACAACCAACAACCAACAACCAACAACCAACAACCAACCACCAACCACCAACCACCAACCACCAACCACCAACCACCACCACCACCAACAACAACAACAACAACCACAACCACAACCACAACCACAACCACAACCACAACCACAACCACAACCACCACAACCACCACAACCACAACCACCACCACAACCACCACAACCACCACAACCACAACCACAACCACAACCACAACCACAACCACAACCACCACAACCACAACCACCACAACCACAACCACCACAACCACAACCACCACAACCACAACCACCACAACCACAACCACCACAACCACCACAACCACAACCACAACCACAACAACAACAACAACAACAACAACTACAACTACAACTACTACTACTACTACTACTACTACTACTACCACCACCGCCACCACCGCCACCACCACCACTACTACCACTACTACTTACTACCACTACTCCCACTACTCCCACTACTACCCCGACTACCCCTACTACCCCTACTACCCCTACTACTACTACTACTACTACCACTACTACCACTACTACCACTACTACTACTACTACTACTACTACTACTACCACTACCACTACCACTACCACTACCACTACCACTACCACTACCACTACCACTACCACTACCACTACCTACCACTACTACCACTACTCCTCCTCCTCCTACTCCTACTCCTACTCCTACTCCTCCTCCTCCTCGTCCTCCTCCTCCTCCTACTACTACTACTCCTACTTCTACTACTACTCCTACTACTCCTACTACTCCTACTACTCCTACTACTCCTACTACTCCTACTACTCCTGCTACTCCTACTACTCCTACTGCTCCTACTGCTCCTACTGCTCCTACTACTCCTACTACTCCTACTACTCCTACTACTCCTACTTCTCCTACTTCTCCTACTTCTCCTACTACCCCTACTACTCCTCCTACTACTACTACTACTGCTACTACTACTACTACTGCTACTAATACTACTACTGCTACTAATACTACTACTACTACTGCTACTACTGCTACTACTGCTACTACTGCTACTACTGCTACTACTGCTACTGCTACTACTGCTACTACTACTACTACTACTACTACTACTACCTACTACTACTACTACTACCTACTACTACTACTACTACCTACTACCTACTACTACTACCTACTACTACTACCTACTACTACTACCTACTACTACTACCTACTACTACCTACTACTACCTACTACAACCTACTACTACTACTCCTACTACTCCTACAACTCCTACAACTCCTACTACTCCTACTACTCCTACTACTCCTAATACTCCTAATACTCCTACTACTTCTACTACTTCTACTACTTCTACTACTTCTACTACTTCTACTACTGCTACTACTGCTACTACTTCTACTACTTCTACTACTTCTACTACTTCTACTACTTCTACTACTTCTACTACTTCTACTACTTCTACTACTTCTACTACTTCTACTACTTCTACTACTTCTACTACTTCTACTACCTACAACCTACTACCTACTGACCACTATACCCACTACCCACTACCCACGACCCACTACCACCCACTACCACCCACTACCACCCACTACCACCTACTACCACCTACTACCACCTACTACCACCTACTACCACCTACTACCACCTACTACCACCTACTACCACCTACTACCACCTACTACCACCTACTACCACCTACTACCACCTACTACCACCTACTACCACCTACCACCACCTACCACCACCTACCACCACCTACCACCACCTACCACCACCTACCACCACCTACCACCACCTACCACCACCTGACCACTACCTCCACTACCTGCCACTACCTGCCACTACCTGCCACTACCTGCCACTACCTGCCACTACCTGCCACTACCTGCCACTACCTGCCACTACCTGCCCACTACCTGCCACTACCTGCCACTACCCTGCCACTACCTGCCACCTACCTGCTACTACCACTAACTGCCCACTACCGCCACTACCTGCCCCTAACCCTACCTGCACTTCCTGCCACTACCTGCCACTACCTGCCACTACCTGCCACTACTACCAACTACTACCTACTACTACCTACTACTACCTACTACTACCTACTACTACCTACTACTACCTACTACTACCTACTACTACCTACTACTACCTACCTACTACTACCTACTACTACCTACTACTACCTACTACTACCTACTACTACCTACTACTACTACCTACTATACTACCTACTACCTACTACTACCTACTATACTACCTACTACGACCTACTACTACCTACTATACTACCTACTACTACCTACTACTACCTACTACTACCTACTACTACCTACTACTACCTACTACTACCTACTACTACCTACTCCTACCTACTCCTACCTACTCCTACCTACTCCTACCTACTCCTACCTACTCCTACCCTACTGCTACTACTACTACTACTACTACTACTACTGTACTACTACTACTACTACTACTACTACTACTACTACTACTACTACTACTACTACTACTACTACTACTACTACTACTACTACTTACTACCTACTACCTACTACCTACTACTACCTACTACTACCTACTACTACCTACTACTACCTACTACTACCTACTACTACCTACTACTACCGACTACTACCGACTACTACCGACTACTACCTACTACTACCTACTACTACCTACTACTACCTACTACTACCTACTACTACCTACCTACTACCTACCTACTACCTACTACTACCTACTACTACCTACTACTACCTACTACTACTACCTACTACTACTACTACTACCTACTACTACTACCTACTACTACTACTACCTACCTACCTACCTTGGGGTTCTTTACTTCTACCTACTTACTACTACTACCTACTACCACCCTACTACACACCTACTAAATACTTACTACCACCTACTACACTACTACCACCTACTACTACTACTACTACTACTACACCTACTACTACTACTACTACTACTACTACTACTACTACTACTACTACTACTACTACTACTACTACTTACTACTACTACTTACTACTACTACTACTACTACTACTACTACTACTACTACTACTACTACTACTACTACTACTACTACTACTACTACTACTACTACTACTACTACCTACCACTACTACTACTACTACTATGATGTTGGGCCAAGTTGGGCCCATATTGAGCCATCTTGCGAGTATCTTCGGCTTATGTTGCGCCAAGTCGGGCCCATGTTGAGCCATCGGGCCCATCTTGGGCCTATGTTGGGCCGTTGGGCACATGATGAGCTATGTTGGGCTCATCTTGGGTTCCAAGTTGGGCCTATGTTGGCCCATGTTGAGCCCTCTTGGGAGCTATGTTGGGGCCATGTTTGGGCCATCTATGTTGAAACGATCTTAAGATAAGATGCAATTTTTTCCGCCCCGGCCCCCTCCTGGAGCCCAAAACCACGTAAAAACCGAGAATTTGTAACATCACAAAAATGAAATTCCTTGCCGGCGAAGGGCCCGAAACACCGTAAAAAACAATGTTTTTTTAACACCGCAAGCAAAATACACCGTAAATTGCAGGGGCGTCAGTCGACACGGAGTGGTATGGGGGTGCGCCGGCCACGGGCCCGTGCTTGCCGGAAGCTTTCGGTAGTACCCGAAGGTTATAGGGGCTGCCGGCCCTGCCGCCGACCCACCCCGGCCTACTCCGTAACCACTGAAGCCCCTATAATTTGCGGTGTATTTTGCTTGCGGTGTTAAAAAGCATTTTCTTACGGTGTTTCGGGCCCTTCGGCAGCAAGGAATTTCATCTTGGCGATGTTACAAATTCTCGGTTTTTACGTGGTTTTGGGCTCCAGGAGGGGGCCCGGGGCGGAAAAATTGGCATCTTAAGATCGTTTCAAAATAGATGTCCCAAACATGGCCCCAACATAGCTTGCAAGAGGGCTCAACATGGGCCAACATAGGCCCAACTTGGCCCGACATGGGCCCAAGATGAACCCAACATAGCTCAACATGGGCCCAACTTGGCCCAACATAGATGGGCCCGATGGCTCAACATGGGCCCGACTTGGCGCAACAAAGCCGAAGATGGGCGCCAACCCTGCCGCCGACCCCACCCCCGACGCACTCCCGAACTACTGAAGGATTTGTAATTTACGGTGTGTATTCTGCTTGCGGTGTTAAAAAGAGGGGGCGTGGGCCGGAAAAAAATGCATCTTAAGATCGTTTCAACATAGATGGCCCTGCACCATAGACCTCCGTCGCGCACCACCACCACCACCACCACCACAACAACAACAACAACAACAACAACAAGTACAAGTCCGGGCGCCGGCCACGCAGCCCGTGTCCTTGCCGGAGGCCTTCGGTGGTAACCAAAGGTTATAGGCGCTGCCGCCCCTGCCGCCGACCCACCCCCATCCCACTCCCGGTCGACTGAAGCCTACGCAATTTACGGTTTTTTGTGCGCGCGATGTTCAAAAACATCGTTTTTTTACTGTGTTTCGGCCCTTCGGCAGCAAGGGATTTCATCTTGGCGATGTTACAAATTCTCGGTTTTTACGTGGTTTTGGGCTCCAGGAGGAGGCCCAGGGTGGAAAAATTGGCATCTTAAGATCGTTTCAACATAGATGGCCCAAACATGGCCCCAACATAGCTCCCAAGATGGCTCAACATAGGCCCAACATAGGCCAACATAGGCCCAACATAGGGCCAACATGGTGCCAAGCTTGCTTGGCCGGGGCCCGGCTGTCAGGCGTAAGCCTTGAAATCAATAAGTCAACCATGTAGCAAAACCTTGAACCCCCCACCTGCAGCGCATTCCAGTCACTATCTGTTCCAA